AAACAATTTCATATAGCGAACCAATACCAGCAACTACCACAAGCACACAAAACTAAAAGAAAAGACACGAAGAAACTCAAAAAGATAAAAATAAAGAAAAGGGTGTGCAAACCGAAACGCCTCGAGGAGAGTAAATATCTACGTGTAAACAGCTCGCCTATGCTCAGCCCCGCGAATTCATACCTGCCAATAAGAAAATCACGAAACTCCAAACTCCCATTATTCCAGGATAAAACTAAAAAGCGAAAAGAAAAATATCTAAGAAAGCAGTAAATCACTTGGGTTGCCTCCCAAGAAGCGCTTATTTTACGTCATTAGCTTGACGAACCTGAAGAGAACTCATTCGGGGTCCAGAAAGAAGTGACGGTCGTGCCATGCCTTCGTGTTTTCCAGAAGTGGTAGCATGGGAAGTTGGGCGAGAAGGTTGGCACAGTGGATCCGAATGGCAATGTTCTGGGCGAAGCGGGTTCAGGCACGAGCAATACCCAACTCTAGACCTAGAGCTTTTCCCACTCGAGCTCTATCGTCTTCCTCTGAAAATATAAGCTCATCAGTGGAGCAAGTCGAACTGAATCCTCCCAACTTTGTAACACAGTGTAAGGGCCTCGAAGACGGATGCTCTAACTCGGAGGTGGGAGGTGGGACTTGAGAATCAAGCCTATGGATCTCCTCCTCTGAAATATCATCAATGTCTCGCTGGAGCTCATCATCTTCTTCTTCGGCCTCACACATTTGCTTCATCGTGCGGGCTTGAGTATCAAGCATAGGGTAAGGGACGTCGACTTGTGCCTCGATTGAGTCGATGTGTGCTGTAAGAATCTCCATCTGTACGCTCAGTCGAGCACATCCAAGCTCAATCTCCACATCTCGAGTGGTCTGGGCAGATATGCGAGCGATGATGAGGTCGAGCTTTTCATCATAAGTCAAAGCAGCCTCCCGAGCTTCATTCTTATGTGTAGATTCGCCTTCAGCGGTGGGCTCGGGAGTGACACTGGTAACTCGATCCTCTAAGGCTTGCACGCGCTCCATAAGATTCTCGAGTCTGGACTCCAGATTGCTCTTACGGGCCACTTGGGATGCTAGAAGAGCGAGAGCCTGGTCGAGCTTTGCATTGTACTCAGAAGAGTCCTCGAAAGACTTATATGGCTGCTCAACCAGGCCTGTAATCCCACTGCTGCTCGTAGGGATATGATGAAGTCTGGCCGAAGTCCCAAGAATCATGGTAAGGAGGTGGTTGTGCACACTGGGCTGTGGTTTCTTCTTCCTGAGCTAACCGGGATGCTACAAATTCATAGATACGGTCGAGCTTCTCGTTGAACTCGTGGGACTCGTAATGTTGCTCGACCGAGAAGGGATCCCAGTACTGCTCGGAAGAGTAGGGGTAAGACTGGATGTGGTACCCGGTGTGGTAGCCCGGCTCGTCAACCCAAAGTTGGGTGTGCGAATAGGAAAAAGTACGGTTGTAGCTCATGATACCTGCACACCAAAGTAGAACAACCACACGTAGCCACGAAAAGAAAAGAAAAAGAAAACAGAAACAAGCAAGACAAAAAGAAAAACAAATATGCACAAAAGAGAGAACAAAAATACGAAAAACACGAAAATAAGAGAAACACGGAAAATAAAATCAATATCAAAACCAAATATCCTACTTGCCTTCCCCGGCAACGGCGCCAAATTTGTTGTAGCACAAATTATTATTTTTGTCGAGTAACAAATTGAAAGATTCGTTCCCCGGGTCGATCTCACGAGGAAGGCTGTTCGGAATTTAATTATGATATCGATAACATATAAAAGCAAAGAAAATCCTAAACATACTAATCAAATAAGGATGGATGAATTATCAGCTAAGAATCAACATAAAAATAATAATCTACCTAAGAAATACGAACGAAACAATAAAAAAGAAGCTAGGGAGTCGGGGATAATTAATTAAAGTTCTAGCAAAACCGGGCAATCAACTGTTCGGTTCGAGATTGACACTCTCGCTTAGACATCTAGCGGTTCACTCCCAATAACTCTTCGTAACAAGGGATTGAACATAGACGTACAAGCTCGAGATACAATACGGGCCAACTATCCCAATCCCAATAACTTTTCGTAACAAGGGACGGGTCATCGACTCGCACGTATTTCAACTGAAAACCTATAGACTATTCAATTACGAAATCATCTACCTCATGTGAGCCTATTTCTACGACTTCTCCCCTTTCGGTTCTGAAAGTCGCTAATTTAACTAGAAGAGTATTAATCAACTAATCACATAGAATCAACAAAACCCTAACTCGACTAATCAATATTCAGTTATTTCTAATTGCAAGATCGAAGTGTCACTCTTCGATTATATCAACAATCAAACAAGATTCTATCAATCCCTTATCAAAACAACTCACATAAGCATGAACGAATCGAAGCTCGACAAGTACAATTCAAACAAGAACAATCATCCCCTATCCCTAGCAGTCAGATTTAGCTACGAACCATGAATTCAAAAAAATCAAGTATTTTACCCCAATTAAACATTCACATGAATTAAA